AGAGGTGGAAGCCAGCAATACTGATAATCCTGACCCTGGGCAAATTTAGGCTAATATGTGTGCTTGTGTCTTTGTTTTTATTCGCAAAAAAAGTTAATAACTAAATAGACTATACCATGCAGCCCAAGTGTGTAGCAGGCTGTACTCCTAGGTTTCTGCACATGTACTCCTTGATTTTTGCACCCTGACCAATTCACTTCACTGTGAACATTTCTTAGTTCTTAGAACATAAGAACTCTTTAAGTGACACATGACTATGTGCACTTCACATGCATATCAAATCTGTGGCATCATTTGTCAATCAAATAGGCATCTGAGTCATTATTACGTCATGTTTATCTTTTTAAATTTTTTTTCTTAGTTGTTGATAGATCTTTATTTATTTATACGTGGTGCTGAGAATCTAACCAGTGCCTCACACATGCCAGGCAATTGTGCTACCACTGAGCTACAGTCCCAGCCCTCATGTTTTTATCTTTTATTAATTGAAGATCAAACTTCACCATTTCTTCTTGCCAACTAGGCCTGCCTTGGCTGAGTGTATTACTTATAGATAAGGTCTTAGATAAAAATCTATTAAGGCCACTGAAGGTGGCTGGAAGGAAAGGAAGACACATTCTGTAGTGGTAGATGAATCACTACTCTGGGTCAGGCTGATAAGACTTTCATTGCCTCTATCTCCCATGGCTGGGCTCCAAGATCACACACGATCACAAATACAAGGCACCCAGTGCAAGAGCAGCCTCTTTTGGTTGGTGGGGTTCAGCCGTGGGTCATCTTCTGGCTGGCTTTGTCTTCAGCACTCGGGGCTCTTCCCTGTTCCCCTTTGAGCGGCAGGCTCCTGCCCTGAGTCCTGGTACCTGGGTTCTCTCCCTCCCACAAGCTACAACTGCTTTTCTTCCTTGGCTCTTGTGCCCAGGTCCTTGTTCTGGTGACTGGGATAGCTTCCGCCTGGCCTAGAGCCCTGTCTAGCTCTTGCCACTGCTCTCTCCATGCTCTGGCTCTCATTCTAGCCAAGACCTGTGGCTGAAGCCCTGCAATCTGTGAACAGGCCTCTCAGACACCATCTGCTTCCCTGGTCCCATGAACAGTGCCTGCCCAGGCTCTCTCTCTTGAGTTCAGCCCACCTGCTAGCACTCCCTGAAACCTCTTCTCAGACCTCTGCCAAGAAGCCCTTGGCCTGAGTCCTCAACTGAGATTAAGGTATTCTTGAATTTTTCAATTTTTACTTGGCTGAAAACAGCACTGTCTGCCACCTCTGTCCCCAGCCCTCTTTTGCTGATTCCTCAGTGCCCTCCAACTCAGGAGGATTAGAAGCGGTTGTAATATAATGAAGATGATGATAAAGGTAAAACTAAATGCTGACTACATGAGTGCCAGGCGCTGCATGAGTACAGCAGCAGTCCTTGCTTTCATGAAAGCAGCACAAGAATATAGACCTTGCATGTTCTCAGCACTTCCTTACTTGTTACTCATTCTTGGACTCTCGGCCTTTTCCTCCTCCACCAAAAGTGTTTTAATTTAGGTCAATAATAACCTCCTAATTTGCAAATCCAACAAACACTTCTTCCTCCTCTTACCTGAACTCTCTATGGCTTCTGGCTTTGAAAACCACTTCCGCCTCTATAAAACCCCCCTTCCCTGTGGTTCTTTGACAGGCCAACCCTCACCCAGTTCCCTTTTGACCTCTCTGGCTACTCATTCCTCGTTCTTCATTTCTTTCACATGTACCTCCTCCAATCTTTACCTTTTACATGATGGCTTCTTCAGGACACTATGCTCCCTCTCTCTTCTCTTCCCTATCTGTACTCTCTTCCTAGGTGATTATTTCCAGTCCTGTAGTTTCAAAGATGGAAGGCAGCTTTCTGGAAACTTGGGAACCCATTTGGGATCCTCACTTAAGGAAAGATGAATCAGTTATTTTGGTAAAATATCTTTTCCTTTGGATTAAGTATTTTGTCCCAGATTGAACTGTGTCACACAAAAAGACATGCTATAGTCCTAGCCCCTAGTACCTGTGACTTTATTTGGATATGGTGTCTTTGCAGATATAATCAAATTAAGATGAAGTCACAGGGTAGGCGCTAGTCCAATATAATTAGTGAATTTAGAAAAGAGATAAAGACACACGGGGAGAGTATCATGTGATGATGGACGCAGAGACTGGAGTGATGATTGGCAAGACAAGGATCACCAATGATTGATGGCCACCACCAGAGGCCAGAAAGAAGCAAGGAAGCATTCTCTCCTACAGGTTTTGGAGGCAATCATGGCCCATGCTGACATCTTGATCTTGGAGTCCTATTCTCTAGAACTCAGATAATACATTTCTACTGTTTTAATCCACTGGGTTTGTGGTCCTTTGATACAGCAGTCTCAGGACACCAGCACACACACTCCATTGTCCTACAGCTCCTAATTTTTTAAATTGTAGATTAAGGACACAATACCTTTATTCTATTTGTTTATTTTTATGTGGTGCTGGGGATCCAACCCAGTGCCTCTCGCATGCTAGGCAAGAACTCTACCCCTGAGCCACAACCCAGACCCTACAGTTCCTGCTTTAAGCAACTAGCTGCAATTTGCAATGTGTTTTGTGTTGAGAAAATTTTGCCTTCATCTTTCCCCTAGGTTCTCAGGCTTTCAAATATCATACACTATTTTCTTAAAAATTTGAATATTAATATTAGGTTTGCAATTTAAATTTTTCTTAGTCTTCTGCTGTAGGGTATTAGGAAAAAAAGCAATTATTTAATCACTGCAGTCCCAGAATAAAATATAGTTCTTTAAGGGAAATACTTTGGGTTTTATGAAACTCACTGCTTTATTCCAACTTTCCAGTTTTCAGATCCATAAAAACTTTACAACAGAAACACTTTAGAATCTATATCATAATATTAATACATAAATATGGAAGACATCTTTTCTTTGTTCCTAGACATCTTCTCTTCCCTTCTAATTTTTTTGGACATAATATGATATTGGACTAATAACTGGCAAGAGGGATAATTTAGGGATGGGGAGGTGTAGCTCAAGTGGTAGAGCATTTATTCACATATGCAAGGTACTGGTCCCTTAGCACCAGAGAGAGAGGGAGGGAGAGAGAAAGTGAGGGAAGGAGAGAAAAAATCTATTTATAAAGCAGAAGCTGGAAAGAACAGGAAAAAAGCCCTTGGGGGGCTACTGGAGATTTGACTCAGGGGACGTTTTAGTACTGAGCCACATCTTCAGTCCTTTTTATTTATTTTTAAATATTTATTTTTTAGTTGTAGTTGAACACAAAATATTATTTTTATGTAGTGCTGAGGATCGAACCCAGGGCCTAGCATGCTACCCTGAGTCACAACCCCAGCCCCTAGCCCTTTTTGAGACAGAGGCTCTGGAACTTGATCCTCCTGCCTCAGTCTCCGGAGGGCTGAGGTTACAGGCCACGGTGGGCAGCAGGAAAAAAAATGTCTATTTAGAGAGAATTATCTCTCAAAGCAAATGAGAAGGTAGAGAGGCATGCTTAAGTTTGAGTGAACTGGGGGAGCCTGAGTTCAGCATAAGAAATTGAAAATGATGTGAGGAAAAATGAATTTCAGGAAATTTGCTGTATTGTGTGAATGCTCCCTTCAGTGTCTCTTAATTTGAGGTTTAATGAAGAGATTTAAAATGCCCCCCTCATCCCCGACTGGACTTTTATTGCTTTTCATATTTATTTATTTAGGTATCCAGGATTGAACCCAGGGGTGCTTTACCACTGAGCCACATCCCCAGCCCCTTTTTAAATAGTTTATTTAGAGACAGAATCTCACTGAAATTACTAAAACTGGCTTTGAACTCAAGATCCTTCTGTCTCAGCCTTCCAACCTGCTGGGATTACAAGCGGGGCCACTGTGCTGGGCTTTATTGTGCGTGTTTAAGGTATCCAACGTGATGCTTTCGAATACATTTAGATAGTGAAAGGTTACCTTAGTGAAACAAATAAGTAGAACTACTCGTGTGTGTGTGTGTGTGTGTGTGTGTGTGTGTGTAGAATCCCATATACAATTTTTGAACTTAATGGACTTGTATTTCTCTGGGTTACGGTGTGGGATCAAATCATAAGGCAGCTGCACTGTTTTAAGGGATGCATGTGATTATATGAACTCTCTCAGAGGCCGCATGTATACGGTTCAGGCTGGGAGCTCTGAAACTGGAACCCCTGTAGTTGAATCCTAGCCCCCAGTCCTTTTCTGTCTGTATCTGAAAGAATTTCTTTCCTGTCCTGTGCCTCCTTTCTCCACCCACAAAAGGGAAATAGCAATACGCATCTCGCTGGACTGTTGGAAAGACGAATTAATAGAGAGAGGGCAACTAAGGACGGTGCCTGGCTGTGGACGTCCGTCGGTTGATTGCTGGCAAGAAGAAATAAATTTACACATAATTTGTCACCTGCTAAACCTAACAAACCCAAGTCACCTTCTGTGGTTCACCGTTTCTAAATTTCTGGCTTGGCGTCCCTTAAACCCGACCTCGATTCCCTGGGCAGGCTTTGCAGCGACCTTCCCTCGGGCGGGCAGAGATGCAACTCCGGGTTGCAGGTCTCCCCGAGCCCGCCTGCTCGGACGTCCTCCTCTGCCAAGAGCTCCCAGCACTTCGGACCTCTACTCGAGCTTTTCCCCGGTTGTGTGCGGCGACCGTTTGCAGGGGCTGATCCGCCTGCACAGAGTAGATGTTCAGTTAGAGTAGACGTGAAGGACAATGTTGTACTTTCTCCCCCCAAATACTCCAGTGGGGGCGCGGGACGAGAGGGGTAGCCGCGGTCGGCGGGACAGTCCTAGCATCCCAGGACCCGCCGCCCGGGGCCGGACCAGCCACGTCGCTGCGGGCCGGGGCGGGGCTCCGCAGAGGCTTGGCCTGGGGCGCCCGCCGTCACGTGACGCCCCTCCCGCGCGCACCGCTGGGGGCGGTCCCCGCCCTCCCCCGGAGCCGAGGCGCTGGAGCGGGCGCGGTGCACTGTGGGCAGAGGGGCGGGGGTTGGGAAGATGGCGGCTCCCAGCCTCCTCAACTGGAGGCGGGTTTCCTCCTTCACGGGGCCGGTACCCCGCGCCCGGCACGGACACCGAGCCGTGGCCATCCGGGAGCTGATGATCATCTTTGGTGGGGGCAATGAGGGCATCGCCGACGAGCTGCACGTCTACAACACCGGTAGGCGCGGCGGCGACTCTCGGCCCCGCCTGCGGGAGCCGCGGAGGGGGAGGGGAGACGAGGCGGCGGCCGCGGCCCTGACAGCTGTCACCGCCCGGTCACCGCTTCCTCGGCTGGGCGGCCCGGGCCCGCAGCATCTTGGACCGCAGCTCCGCTTCCCCGGGGCCCCGCGGGGCGGGTCGGACCTGGAGCCGGGGCGCCGCTCCTCAGGTGGGCCGCCCCGACCCCCGCGCCCCCGCCCGGCCGGCAGACCTCGGCGAGACACGGCGTCCACCGGCCTGGGCCTTGGCTGCGGCCTCGCCCACTGCGGGGGCCGGGGTACCGCCGCTGTCAGGAAACAAAACCCCCTCCAAGCCAGAGCGCCTCCGGGCCGTGCCTTCTCGCCTTCCTTCCTCCGCTCCTCCGGAGGAAGGGCTTAGCGGGCGAGGAGGGAGAGGGTCCTTCTGGGACCCTGCGCTCAGTACGGCCCCGAATCCGGCAGAGCTTCGCGGTTTCCCCGGTCGGTCGCCCCTGACCCAGCGGGGAGCTGGCTGGGGGCGAGCCCGGCCTGCTCTCTGCGGCCGGGGTGCGTGCGGCGCCGTTCGCGACCGGTCTCCCGATACCAGGGTGTCACGACTTGACCCCCTGCAGATCGCAGGTGCCGCTGGTTAGCGAGGCCGCCCTGCCCTGGACTCTCCGTAGCATAGAAAGCTGGAATTTATTGTTTTCCCTCCACTTGTAAATACTCCAGTTATCTAAAGAAATCGGTGCCCTGGATGTAAGGCTAATTACTGAATTGGGGGTTGATTTCATGATCGACAACTTTTCTTTGACCAAACAACGTAGCCCTAATCTCTTTAAAGTTTAACAGAACAGTAGAGTAGGGAACTTTTTCGTCCTCTCCTCCTCGGAACAACCCAGAGTATAACGTTAAAAAGCTATGGATTTAGTATGGTGTGAAAACTCTGGCTTTCGAACAAATTTGACCTAACTTGAAACTTTTCTGCCAGTTATCCAGAATCAGCATTAAACTTACCAAATTTTTCAAAATTTCAGATTTTTATTTGTAAAACGGCGAAGATACTCACCCAGCAGAGGGTTTGTAAGAACTGGATGATATAGATCCGGTTTTTTCAACAATAGCACTGTTGACATTTAAGGCCAGATGATCCTTTGCTGTGGGGTATTATTATGTACATTGTAAGATGTTTGACAGCATCCCTGGCCTCTGTCCACTACTTGCCAGTAACATTTCCATTTCCAGTTGTGACAACTAAATTGTTTCCAAACGTTGCCAAAGGAGGATTCCCTTGGGGGTGGGAATCATCAGTTGAGAACCACTGACACAGATGATACCTATAAAGTATATATTCATAGAATGTACTAATCATTGTTATAATTGATTTTAATTTTATTTTGGCAATTAGTTACAAATCAGTGGTTCCTACCAGCTGTTAGAGGAGACATCCCTCCAGGCTGTGCTGCCCATGGATTTGTCTGTGATGGTACCAGAATATTAGTATTTGGGGGAATGGTTGAATATGGAAGATACAGCAATGAGTTATATGAGTTACAAGTAAGTGTATATAAGATTTATTATTTCAGTCTAAAGTTTTAATACTGATACTGGTCATAATTCATCAAAAGATCACAAAATATTTCATTAGCATATTTAAAATAGCATGAACTTCACACTTTATAGCTTGAAAGAAAATGTTTCCACTTCATTTAAAAGCCAAAGTTTCTAGTCTAAGTTCTTTTCCATGCCCAGTGTGACATTTGTAACATTAAGCTAAATGTTTTACATTACTTGCATGTGTTATATGTTTAGGTTTTTGTATCTTAGTGTAATAGTTTTTCATTTTTAATCTGTAACAGAAGCACCTGAAGGATTTGTGAGAACAGATTGCTGGGCCCTGCCCCGAAGCTTTATTGTCTCTAGTGTGGCCTGAACATTTGCATTTCTGCCAAGTTCTCAACTGATGCTGCTGGTTCCAAGACTATATACTTGGAAAACCACTGCTTTGATGTCATACAAATTGTTACCTCTCACACTAATCATTATTCCCTGTTTTTCCCTGATCCCCCACAATATGTGAAAAAGAGGGTTTCAGTTCATATAATCATTTCTAAATTTGACTCCTTTATTAAACCAGATCCCTCCTTGACTCTTCTTGATTTGTGCATGTTTCCAGGGTCATTATTTTGAGGTTATCTGGGAGTTGGCAGATGTAGATGAATTGTGCTTATTTACCAGCAACCCATTTCAAAAATTTTGAGACAAAGCTTTATAGCTAGAGTATAATTTAGGAGGTTTGGTTTGTGAAATGAGCTTTATGTTAATTTAAATGTTAAAATACTTAGCATATATGGGTTACCTAATATTTGAAAATAAGTAAATAAATAAATAATTACATTTAATCTTAAAGGTATACATAATAAATAATTTTTAAGTTGGAAAACATTAGTATTGTTAATGTTAATGTTATTATTTATAAGCTTAGTATACCATTGTGGAAATCCGTATATATAGAAAAATTAATTAGAATTTCTACATATATTTTAATTATAGAAATTATTTGTTATTTGTCATTTGTTTCAAAAATTGCTTATTGAAGACTTCTGATGACATTTGGTTGAAAATATATTGGTATGATGCACTGTTGACAGTGTAGGAATAGGAATGCTTTCCTGATTTTACCTCAAGACTGTTTGGTCTTTTTCAGGCAAGTCGATGGTTATGGAAAAAAGTGAAACCCCACCCCCCTTCTTCTGGTTTACCTCCTTGTCCTCGGCTTGGACATAGTTTTTCTTTATATGGTAACAAATGCTATTTGTTTGGTGGTCTGGCAAATGAAAGTGAAGATTCAAACAATAACGTTCCCAGGTATGCCGACTCTTATTTTAGATCAAATGCTTATTTTATGATTTAGATGAGGATCATTTGGTTTCTTCCATCTTTATTATAAGGGATAAAGCTTAACTTTTTTTTTTAACTTTTAAACCTAACAATGAACAAATTTTTGTGTACTTGTATTTTCCTTAGTCTCTGGAGTGTATGTGTTTTCAATCAGAAATTATCTTACTAAGTTTATATTAATATAACTTGTATTAATATATTTATGTATCTTGATCTATAATGTATGTTTTCTAGTTCATTAATGATAACCAAAAGAAACAGATGGTTATTTTAAAATTATACTTTTCAGGGAATTTAGTGATAAAAATATGACTTATAAAATCATTTCCACATTTCATAGGAGAAATTCTTAAAAGTGATTCACACTGGCAAACACTTTTCCTCCTTTTTCTAAACACAAGTAATCACTATCTCTTTTTTCTGTAGTTTTAATGTATAAGCTCTGCTTTTTCTTATTTTGTTAAATTCCTAAATTAAGAAAATTTTTTGTTGATATTGTGAGTTTGATTTCTTAATTTTTTGTTTATTGCTAGTTTATGGAAATAAAATTGGCTTTGTATGTTGACTTTGTATCCTGTGACCTTGCTGAATTAATCTTTTCAATCATTTTCATGGATTTCAGTTTTTCTTTTTATTATTGAGATTTAGGATACACACACACACACACATATGAAAGTATCGGTTTGTTTCTTAATATTCCAAATATTTTTCTAGGTTTCTCTTTGCCTATTTAAAAAATTTGCTTTTCTTCTTCTTCTTTTTTTTTTTTTTGGTGGTGTTGGGGATTGAACCCAGAGCTTTGTGCATGCGAGGCAAGCAGTCTACCCACTGAGCTATACCCCCAGCCCCTTTATAGCTTTCTTATTTTGTATCTTCTTTAAAAAGACTCTTCCTCTCCAAAATTAAAAAAAAAATTTTTTTCTCTCATTTCTTCTAATACATTCACAGTTTTGTTTTTTTATATTTAGAACATTGGCTGGGGATATAGCTCAGTGGTGGAACACTGGCTTAGCATATGTGATTCCATCCCCAGCACCACATTTAAAAAAAAAAAAATCAATACATTTGGAATATACTTTTGTTATTAGTGTAAGGCTTTTCCCTCTTTTTCCTAATTGATTTCTTTCCATTTCTTCCAATACTATTTACTACATAAGCCTTTTTTTTTTTTTGGTATTGGAAATTGAATTCAGGGGCACTCAACCTGAATTAGAGACAGGGTCTCACTGAGTTGCTAAGCGCCTTGCCATTGCTGAGGCTGGCTTTGAACTCGTGATTCTCCTGTCTCAGCCTTCTGAGCCACTAAGATTACAGGCATGCATCGCACCAGCTTACATAAGCCATTTTAAAATGCCTTAATTTTTATATAAATGGTTCATTTCTAGGCTTCCTATCAGAAGTTACAGACTGTGCTTTGTGGGCAAAGTTTGCCTGCTGGCCTATTTTTATTTATGAAGTTTTATTGGATGGGCTGGAGTTGTGGCTCAGCTGTAGAGCTCTTTCTTGCTTAGCACCTGTGAGGCCCTTGGTTCAATCCTAAGCACCACATAAAAATAAATAAAATAAAGGTATTGTGACCAACTCCAATAAAAAGTAAACTTTTTTTTTTTAAAGTTTTATTGGAAGATAGCCACATCCATTCATTTGCTTATTATGTTTGCTTATTAAATATTTATTATCTAGCCCTGTACAGAGGAAGTTTGTTGACTCTTGCTTTAAACTTTATTCTGTGTCATTAATTTATTTACTTTTCTATCGTTAATTGCATTGTTTTCTGGTATATGCCTTTGATGAGGATATTTTCTACTTCTTTTGGTACTGTGGTTTGAATCTAGGGGTGCTTTACCACTGAGATACATCCCTAATCCTTTCTTAAATTTAAAAAAAAATCTATTTTGGGGGAGTGGGGTACCAGAGATTGAACTCATGGGCACTCTACCACTGAGCCACATCCCCAGCCCTTTTTTTCGTATTTTATTTAGAGACAGGATGCCACTGAGTTGCTTGGTGCCTGGCTGTTGCTGAGGCTGGCTTTGAATTCGCAGTCCTCCTGCCTCAGCCTCCCAAACCACTGGCTGAGATTACATGTGTTCGCCAGCGGGCCTGGCTGAGTTGTTATTAAATTCTGAAATATGAGCCACATTTTTATTCCTAGTTAAGACTCCTTTTATTATATTACAGAATTTGTTTCATACCTTGTCAAGTTCACATTGCTTATTTAAAAAAAAAATACACACACACACACACACATTCTCAATGATTTTGCCTATTTTATTTGGGGAGTGAGTGCTATATCTTGTTATTGATTGGTCATTATCTTCATTTTTAGTATTTCTTTTTTTTAATATTTATTTATTTTTTTTAGGTCTAGATGGACACAATACAATGCCTTTATTTTTATGTGGTGCTGAGGATCGAACCCGGGTCCCGCCCTTGCTAGGCGAGTGCTCTACTGCTGAGCCACATTCTCAACCCTAGTATTTCTTTATATTAAGAAAATTTGGTAGGGGCTGGGGTTGTGACTCAGCAGTGGAGCACTTGCCTAGCACGTGCGAGGCTTTGGGTTCCATCCTCAGCACTACATAAAAATAAATAAATAAAATAAAGGTATTGTGTCCAACTGCAACTAAAAAATTAAAAAAAGAAAATTTAGCCTTTTTCTGTGATGTCTAAAAAACAAAAAAAAACATTTTTCCAGTTTGATCTTTTTCTTTCTTTCTTTTTTTTGGTACTTGGTATTGAACCCAGGAATGCTTTACCACTGAGCTACATTCCTGGTCTTTTTAGTTTTTTAAAATTTTGAGACAAGGTCTCACTAAATTGCTGACTGGTTTCGAACTTGCAGTGCTCCTGCCCTAGCCTCCCCAGTCACTGAGATTTCAGGCATGTACCACTATACCTGGCTTTGACCTTTTTCTTTTCATACAGTTTATGGTGGGTCTTTCTAAAAAAAAAAAAAAAAAGTCTTATTAAATGCTTTCTGTGTGGTATGCTTTACTTGTTTTACCATTTTTAATTTTTTTCTTAATTCTTTGCTTCCCTCAGTTGCTTAGAAATTAACACTCATTTTAAACTGAAAATGTCTTATCACTTCTGGGAATAAATTGCTGTCTTACCATTAGCATTCTTTTGCCTATCACCTTTTGCTGTATGTTCAATATATTCTTGAATCTATTCTGGACTATAGTGATATTAAGAAATTAGCTTTTTAGTAATTTTTTTTTCCAGTACTGGGATTGAACCCAGGGGTACTTCATCACTGAGCTACATCCCCACCCCCCTACTTTTTTTTTTTTTTTTTTTTAAATCTTGAGACAGGGTCTTGCTAAGTTACCCAGGTTGGCCTCAAATTTGGGATCCTCCTGCCTAGGTTGTTAGGATTACAGATTATGCCACTATGCCCTTTTTTAGTACATCTTTCTTAGTGACAATTAAGAATATCACTTTATCTGGGTGCAGTAGCATATGCCTGTAGTCCCAGCGGGAGACTGAGGCAGGAGGATCTTGAGTTTAAAGCCAGCTTCAGCAAAAGCGAAACACTAAGCAACTCAGTGAGACCCTGTCTCCAAATAAAAAAATAGAAAATAGGGCTGGGGATGTGGCTCAGTGGTCAAGTGTCCCAAAGTTCAATCCCTGGTACCACAAAAAAAAAAAAAAAAAATTAACGGGCTGGGGATGTGGCTCAGTGGTAGAGTGCTCGCCTACCACTTGTAAGGCCCTGCGTTTGATCTTCAGCACCATAAATAAATAAATAAATAAATAAATAAATAGTATTGTGTCCAACTACAACTAAAAAATAAATATTGAAAAATATAACCATAATTTACTGGTGTTTTGCTCTACCATTTCTCTTATGCCTTTCTTGAATTTCTTTTTCCTAGTTAACATTTTGAATCATTTTTTCCCAGAACAATTACATGGCTAAACTTTGAAGTTTTATATGTCCTAAATGTTTTCTTTTGGTCTCTTTCTTTTTAAAAAAAATATTTTGAAAGTTATAGATGGACAGAATGCATTTATTTATTTATTTATTTATTTATTGTGCTAAGGATCGAACCCAGTGCCTCACATGTGCTAGGCAAGCACTCTGTCACTGAACTACAGCTCCAACCCTTGCCCTCATTCTTTTTTTTTTTTCTTAATGTTTGTTTTTAGTTGTCGCTGAACACAGTACTTTGATTTTATTTATTTATTTTTATGTAGTGCTGAGGATAGAACCCAGGGCCTCGAACATGCTAGGTGAGTGCTCTATTGCTAAGCCATAATCCCAGCCCCTTGCCCTCATTCTTGAGTAAAAATTTGGTAGGAAGTAGATTCCTACCAAAGTCATTTTGCTGAAAACTTTGAAAACATCCACAACATAAATAAGTTTAATGCCAGTGTCTAAAGTAAAGAAGCTACTTGGACATTGCTATGACATTGCAGTGGGGAGAAAAGTTGCAAAGCCCCATTTGTTATATGCCTTGTTTATCATATGTTGACATCCAGAGAGAGAGATGTCTTATAGGTATTTGCCCAAATATTATAGGAAGTATTTGTTCTGGTTATCTATTACTGTGTGATAAACTGCCCAACGTTTAGTGCTGCAGAATTACAACTATTTTATTATGCTCATGAACTCTGTGGGTCAGAAATTCATACAGGACACAAAAGAGAAGGCTAGACTCTGAAGTGGGAAGGTTTGAATGGTTACTCCCATATCTGATGCCTCAACTGAGATGGCTGAAGGACATACTGAAAGTACTGTCACCCTGCGTACCTATGGTGGCCTCTTCAGATGGTGGTTTTTTTTTGGTAGCTAGACTTTTTTACAATTCAAGAACAATGATTTTGTGAAGCTATATGGACCTGTGGAGAATCAAAGGGAGGAGTCATAGACCCCACCCCCTGATGGGAAGAGTGTCAGAGAATTTTGATTTGTGTTTTAAAGCTACCACCATTGTCACTGATACCTTCACTGTTGGCTAAATGATGGCAGGGATTTTTTTTGCTCTCTTCTGTTCTCTGCTAAGCTCTGGAAGAGCACCTGGTACATAGTAGTATTTGGTAAATGTTGAATGAGTGGTCTGGGGTTTCTGCTGGCTTTATGAATTTAACACCAAAGCTAAAAACTATCATCTGAAGAGGTCACACAGAGTGGACAGTACCTTTGGCCTGTCCTTCAGCAATCCCACTTAAGACATCAAACAGGGGAATAACCATTTAAACCTTCCTATTTGAGAGTCCAGCCATTCTTTCTGTGCTCTGTTTCTTTTTTATTATTATTATTATTTTTTAGTTGTGGGTGGATAAAATACCTTTATTTTATTCGCTTATTTTTTTTTTTGAATTTTTTAATATTTATTTTTTTAGTTCTCGGCGGACACAACATCTTTGTTTGTGGTGCTGAGGATCGAACCTGGGCCGCACGCATGCCAGGCGAGCGCGCTACCACTTGAGCCACATCCCCAGCCCCTTATTCGCTTATTTTTATGTGGTGCTAAGGATCAAACCCAGTGCCTCACACATGCTAGGCAAGTGCTCCACTTCTGAGCCACAACCTCAACCCCTCTGTGCTTTGTTTCTAATATGAATTTTTTACATACTTTATGAATAGAAGCAAAAAACGGATAAAAGACATATTATCTGAATGTTTTCTTTTTTTTTTCATGATATGCAGATATTTAAATGATTTCTATGAGTTGGAGCTGCAGCATGGTTCTGGTGTTGTGGGATGGAGCATTCCAGTCACTAAAGGGATTGTGCCTTCTCCAAGAGAATCCCACACAGCTGTTATATATTGCAAAAAAGATTCTGGAAGTCCTAAAATGTATGTTTTTGGTGGAATGTGTGGTGCTCGCCTGGATGACCTGTGGCAGCTTGACTTAGGTAAACTTAACTTGATTCAGGCTGGATTGGTATGATTATAAGGGCAAATTTCAAATACCTTGAAAATATTTTTAAAAAATATTTATTTTTTAGTTGGACACAGTATCTTTATTTATTTATTTTTATGTGGTGCTGAGGATCAAACCCAGGGCCTCGCATGTGCTAGGCGAGTGCTCTACCGCTGAGCCAAAACCCCAGCCCTTGAAAATATTTTTGATTGTAGTATTTATTGAGTTGCATTAATTATAGCCTGTACTTGTAGTCTCAGACACAGATGAGATGCAATCAGTTAGGCTAAACAAATGAATTTGATTTATGACAGTAACTCTTCTGTGTTCCCTGTTAGTAGTTTCACCAGAGGTTCTGGTTTTCCAGATATGGTCCTGCTTTACCTGATATGGTCCAGCTTTATGCTTACTGTTCTATGTAATTATCAGTAGTACTCCATTTCACACTGAAAAGTGTCCAGTTGAAAGTTATATATGGCTACCTTATCAATAGGAAATGTAGTATTAGCAATGAGTCATTAAAAAACCCTTAGGTAGCTTTTTCTGAAGGGACTCTAGGAATGAGTGACTAAAGGGCAAATGTGTCTCTCACCTTTAACTATAAAGTACACTATGGTAAATATTTGTTGAATGAATGGTCTGGGGTTTCTGTTTACTATATGAATTTAATACTAATGCTAAAACCCACTGTCTGGGGCTGGGGGTTGTGGCTCAGAGGTAGACGCTTGCCTAGCATGCGTGAGGCTCTGGGTTTGATCCTCAGCACCACATAAAGTAAAATAAAGACATTGTGTCCACCTATAACTAAAAAATAAATATATAAAAAACCAAAATACACGTCTGAAGAAGCCACACAGGTACGCAGGGTGACACTACCTTCAGCATGTGTAAAGTACACACAGTGTACTTTTACTTGAAACATTAAAAACACTAATAATATTGTTCTTAATTCAGAATTGGGTGATACTCTAAGTACTAACCTTCTCCATAACAAATGCTAACATTCAAGTGTAAATAGATTTCTGTCTTGTCAATTTATGTCAACTGAAAATGTTCATTCTAAGATGAAATTCATATAACTGCTGTGAAACATTTTTACTTCATTTTGACAAGTACTTACTTTGTTCTATTTTTAAAAAAATTACACAAGTTGAGGTAATTTGCTATATTAGATCAAGTTGCTAATGTCCTTTTTTTTTTTACTTTTAGAAACTATGTCATGGTCAAAACCAGAAACTAAAGGGACAGTTCCACTTCCACGAAGCCTTCACACGGCCAGTGTTATAGGAAATAAGTAAGGATTTTTTTGTGGTGTTTTTGCTTTTAAAAAAAAAAAAATTAGATGTATGTAAAAGTGATACTCCTAGTTTCTTGGAAATAGATTACTGAACTTAATGATGTTTGTGCTCTCTGAAGCTAAAAAATATTTGCAGAAGCTAAAATACTTTATCATTTTCTTATCATATTGCTTCTTATATGTCTTTGTCATTTTCTTTCATATTGCCTCTTATACATCTTTATCTTCCTCACAACTCCTTGTCCAGAGTAGGCACTACCTGAGTGTAAGGCAGGATGTTGTCAACTGATATATTTTTTGTGGATGGTTTGGTATACCTATCTCACTGTTTCTTTTGACATATTTTTAGCACTGCTTGATTTGTATTCAGGCACATACAATAGTTGTGTTTGGAAGGACATATGGAGTTATGGTTAGAATACAGGCTTTGTAACTATATGGCCTAAATTCAAGCCTCAGGTTTCATACTTGTCCTTTGTGACCTGGGGCAAGGAAATTTAATTCATCTGTACCTCACTTCCCTCAAGAATACAATGCAGATTAAAGTAAAACTTCACAAGGTTTTAGTGAGGATTAAATGTATTAATACATAAAAATGCTTAGAACAGTGCCCTATACATTCAGAGCACTTGAAAAATATTAACTGTACAAGTATCCCTATTTATGTAACACTGGGCCATGATTAGGAGTATTATTTAAGTAGAACTTAATGAAGTATTTACTAGTACGGGGTTTTTACCTTAAATGTAATGTTTCAGGACAGTACTAGTTGTAATTTAGAATCTCAATAATTTACAGAATTGAAAACTCGGGACTTAAAAGATTAATTGAAAAAACTGGTAAGATCTGAGTAGTCTGAAGTTCAGTATTTAACAAATGTTTTTTTTTGTTGTTGTTGTTGTTGTTTTTAAAAAAGCCAGTATGTACATGCCTGCAATCCTGGAGACCCAGGAGGCTGAGGTAGGAGAATCGCAAGTTTGAGGCCAGTGTAGACAACTTAGTTAAACCCTGTCTCAAAATAAAAATAATAATTAAAAAAAGGATGGGGGATGTGACTCAGTGGTACAGCTCTCTTGGGCTCAATCCCCAGTGTCACAAAAATAAATAAATAAATAAAAGCTTCAGAGCCAAACAGAATCATCTTCACAGTTAAACATAATCTTGTACAATGCAATTTTCCATTGGAATATTATATATTCCAGCATATAAAATACAAAAAATGTGGAGTTTCCCTGATTGGCATAAGGACTCATGATCCCTAAACTCTACCTGATGAGCTTATCTTCTTTAGCAGCCATGAGGCTTTTCTCAAGAACCTCTAGGACTCTGAGGACATAGTTTTAAATTTATTTTTTGTTTTTTTCTGGTATTAGGGATTGAACTCAGGGTCACTTTACCTCTGAGCCACACACCTGGTCCTTTTTATTCTTTTTTATTTTTTTTAGTGTTGATGGGCCTTTATTTTATTCATTTATTTATATGTGGTTCTGAGAATTGAACCCAGTGCCTCACGTGTCTGAGGCAAACGTTCTACCACTGAGCCACATCCCCAGCCCCTTATTCTTTTTTTCAATTTTTAGAGAGGGTCTTGCTAAGTTTCTGAGGATCTGTCAAGTTAGTGAGGCTGGCCTCAAACTTGTAATCTTTCTGCCTGAGCCTCTAAGTAGGTGAGATTATAGGTATGTACATATTGTGCCTAGCAGTCCTGAAACTGAGTCAACAAATAAATCTTTTGTTCATTTTTAACATTCTAATCCAACAAGTGAAATTAAATCACCTACTTTCTGTTCTTGGTTTTCTGGTTTTTTGTTTTTTTTTTTTTTGATTGTTGTTCAGAATGTACATTTTTGGTGGATGGGTTCCACATAAGGGGGAAAATATTGAGACTTCACCTCATGATTGTGAATGGAGATGTACCAGTTCATTTTCTTACCTAAATCTAGGTGAGTCTTTTAAAATTTACTCATTGAAATAAGATTTATTAATAAAAGAATTTGTGAAATTTTGATGTTTAAGAATAATAGATCAGTCATGGATATTCCTATGGTTTTAGATACAGCAGAGTGGACCACTCTAGTATCAGATTCTCAGGAAGATAAAAAAAATTCAAGACCAAGACCAAGAGCTGGACACTGTGCTGTAGCAATTGGCACTCGATTATATTTTTGGAGTGGAAGAGATGGCTACAAAAAAGCACTGAATAGTCAAGTTTGCTGCAAGGATCTTTGGTATCTTGATACTGGTGGGTAAGAGTATTTAGCAAATAAAATCTATCCTTTAGGTAAATACTCAAATAATTTTTGTCTTTTAAGATTTAATCTAAATGACACTGCCTCTTTCCTATAATTTAAAAAAAATGAGAGAAATAATTTGTGTAGATATTTCCCACATCAGAGGAATATATATTAATTGCTCTTTTCTTGAGTGTAGCTTGAACTTAGAGATTTCTTTCCAAAGAATAGAGTATAGAAAGGGAAAAAACAGTAGCCTCATGGGGAAACCTGTAAGCACCACCTTACTGAAGTGATCAAGGTTAATGTCACTGTTGATAAGTCATACTGATATATTTACCCTCCTGGAAATAATGATAAGAAAGTACTTCATCATTGTGGTACTCTTCCCAAAAATCTATTACTTGAATCTAACTTTGAAAAATATCAGATAAACTCAAATGGAGGAACGTTCTAGACGTTCTACAGAATATTTGTACAGTAATCTTCAAAAGATTCAAGACTATTAAAACATGACTAAGAAATAGTCTCAAATGGAGGAGTGTAAAATGATAAGATGACCAAAGGCAGCATGGTGTCCTGGATTGGATCCAAGAAGCCAAAAGACATTAAACCATTTTGTCCTATTGTCCTAGATTTGTGATGTGTGTATAAAAACTTAGACATAGTTTATAAGATGCAACATAATTATATAAAAGGATCTAATTATAATTAACATTAATATTAATAAAATAATGTATATATATAAATTATAGATTATGATTTCCAACCTATTTCATAAGGCACCTATGTCAATTTTGTTGAAATAGTCACAGAATTGAAAATTTGGAACTTAATGGCTTAATTGAAAAATGAGGAAATCTGAGTAGTGTGAATTTTAGTAAATAGTATTAATGAGTGGCAATTTCTTAGTTTTAGCAAGTGTTGGGGAAAAGGTAGATGGCAACACTATACTATCTTCACATCTTTTCTGTAGATCTGAAATTATCACATATTAAAGTGGGTTTTTCTTAAAGTGTTAGAGCACCAAGAATTTTTTAAACGTGAAACTCACATCCATTTTCAATAAATATTTACTGACAGCTGTGATGCAAAAATTGTTTTTTAAGTGCTGAGAATACAACAGTGAACAAGACTGGTAATGTCCCTACTTGCACAGATTTACATTATGAGAGAGTGTGAGGGCGGGGGATAACAAATAGTACATCAAGCAAATGAACAAAATAAGTACCATTTCTGGTAAGCATGTGGAGACATGAGATAGTGCTTGGAGGTACTGGGAATTGAGGCTGGTAGCTGTTTCAGAGTGAGTAGTCAGAAAAGGTCTCTGAAGAGATGATATATGGGATGTGTTCCAAATGGTGAGGAGGAGCTACCCACCTAAAAATCTGGGGAAATTATTGCAGGAAGAGTGAAGAGTAAATTCAAGAGCCCATAGATGGGAAGATTTGGCATATTTGGGAATAGATTTGAGCCAGTTAAACAAAGAGAAGATTGTAATAATGGAAGTTAGAGATCACCATGGGACAGATCATGAAGGTCCTTGAATGCCATAGTAGATTTTGAATTGTTTATTTATTCATTGACTGATTCATTTATTTATTTTTGTGATAACTGATATTGAACCCATGACCTCTTGTGTACTTGTAAATTGTTTTAAAAATACAATGGTAAAATATGTTTAAGTTTGAAGGAGACGTGATATGATTGGATGTACACTGGGAATGGACACTGGCAATTATGTGAAAAATAAATTGTGGGGCAAAAGTGTATACAGGGAGACAAGTTAGGGGGCTCTTGCAGTAATCACAACTGTCTTAGGCTGTAGTGGAGACAGTGCAGAAGGGGAAGAATGGGTAAGCTCAGGATATATTTTGAATTCTGTTGACAGAACTGGCTGATAAATTGGGTATGGCAGGTAACAGAAAGAAAAATTGAGGGTGAAGTTTTTAGCCTGAATAATTTGCTGAGATTGTGTTGAATGGAGAAAACTGTGTTGAATTTAGACCAGGCTAAGTTTAAAATGATATCAAACAAACAGTTGATGGAATAAACAGATCTACAGATTAGTGTAAACATTAGATCTAGAATTTTTGTAATTTGTGGTATTATAGGAAAAGAAAATGATAAAACATTATTATTATTATTATTTTTTGGTGGACAGTTTTTTTTTTTTTTTGGTGGACATAGTATCTTTATTTTACATTTATGTGGTGCTGAGGATCGAACCCAGTGCCTCATGTATGCTAGGCGAGCACTCTACCAGTGAGCCACAACCCCAGCCCCAATTGTTGTTTTTTTTTTTTTTAAATTTTTTTAGTTGTAGTTGGACACAATACCTTTATTTTATTTATTTATTTTTATGTGGTGCTGAGGATTGAACCCAGCACCTTGCAAGTGCTAGGCAAGTGCTTTACTGCTGTGCCACAGCCCCAACCTGGACTCCAGTTTAAGTGGGTAAATAAAAAATTAGCAAGTTGACACACTTAAGTATTATTTGAGAGGTGAGATTTGAGTTCAGTTTTCTGACTTATCACTCTTTTCTACAGTAGCATGTACTACTTTTGTAATATAAAATAGTTTAGTGTTAAAATTAAGATAGTTGAAAAAATAATAAGTGGAATAACAAAGCTAGAGACTAAATAATTTCTACAGAAGAAGCCCATCCTAACAAGCAGGAGAGAAATATGAAGACTCCAACATACCGAGTGATCTATGAAACTGGGAATTAGTAACCAAAATCCAAGGATAAAAATATGTGTACATGGGGCTGGGGTTGTGGCTCAGTGGCAAAGTGCTTGCTTTGCACATGTGAGGCACTGGGTTCGATCCTCAGCACCACATAAAAATAAATAAACAAAATAAATATACTGAGTCTCTCTATAACTAAAAATAAAAATAATAAAAAAAATGTGTATATGATGAATTTCACTCTGTAGGAAATATATATCACTTTAAACATATTCTCTAAGGGATTTGTGACTTTAAAAGTATGTAAACCATTGGATCTGAGTGGCTAGATTTTTAATCAAAGATTTTAGACACCAATATTTCCTCTGAAAGTAATCATGGCCACTGCCATAAGGGCAGAATTTGGGTGTGGCAGGTAACAGAAAGAGAAGAATTAAGGGTGAAGTTTTTAGCCTGAATAATTTGCTGAGAAAATTATCATCACCTTTTGGGGGAGGTAGGGGATATTTATCTTGCCTTTTTCACTTTTAAACTTTATACATTGGATCATATTTAAATGAGTACTAGAACTCCGTAATATGGCTTTTCATGAAAAATAGCAGTCCTGTTTTTTCTTGCTTTTATAAGCATCTGTTTTCAACTCTGTTGAATGAGATCCTTTACTTCCACATCTCTACTATTGCATGCATATATTGTTACTTTGTTTGTTTGTTTTCCAGTTTTGGTGTAATATACCCACTTTCTACTATGAAAATTAAAGGATCTCTTCCCACAATACCTCACCGCTCTTCTATACTTTTTCCATCTCCTATCTTTCAGTATGACTACCCCAGAGTTTCATTAGATGAGTATTCAGTATTTACATTATGACTGTATAAACACTATTTATACTTGAATCTTCCTTGTATGGTTTTCTATTTGCCATGGAGCAAATTGTCTGTTTTGTTCATGTTAGATCTGTACGCATGTACCACTAGTTCAATCTGTACTCTGTTATTTGTTAAATCTTCTCTCATTATGGTTAGATGCATCAGATATTCTACCAAATTCATCATTTTAACTTATTTATTTATCTTTTTAGTTGTAGTTGGACACAATACCTTTATTTTATTTATTTATTTTTATGTGGTTCTGAGGATTGAATCCAGCGCCTCATACATGCTTGGTGAGTGCTCTGCTACTGAGCCACAACCCCAGCCCCTCAAATTCAACATTTTGAAGAGAGTTCTCCTGCCTTACTCTGGGATGGTTGCCCTCTACAAATCCATCACAGCTATCATCCTTAGAGTCTTTATCATCTTACTGGAGTTATATTTTACCTCACATCTGTGCTGGATTCCCTGTTTCCTGGATCCCACATTTGCCCTTTTCTTAGTTTACTTCCTCATTACTCTACCACTAAGCCACAACCCTAGCCCTGTAGATTTATTTGTATAAGAAATTAAACAAATAGGGCTGGGGTTGTAGCTCAGTGATGGAGTACTTACCTCGCATGTATGAGGCACTAGGTTCGATCCTCATCACCACATAAAAATAAGTAAATAAAATAAAGGTGTTGTGTCCATCTACAACTAAAAATATTTTTTAAAAAGAAATTAAACTTGGGGCTGGGATTGTAGCTCAGAGGTAGAGCACTCGCCTAGCACGCGTGAGGCCCTGGGTTTGATCCTCAGCACCACATAAATAAAATAAAGATATGTGTCACCTATAAGTAAAAAATAAATATTAAAAAAAAGAAATTAAACAAACAGAATCTGAACCTCAGACTACTTTCATCTGATCTACTATAGCTATGTATATATGAGTAAATTTTCTCTCTCTTGCTAAAAAAGATGCTATGTTCCTTGTTTTTGTTTTCCAAGCTACAGTCCACATAAACTTTGAAGGCAAACTATTGATACTAAATTTGAAACTAAAATGTGTAATATTAATATTGTTCTTTAGAGAAACCACCAGCACCATCACAAGTACAGTTGATCAAAGCTACTACCAACTCTTTCCATGTCAAGTGGGATGAAGTACCTACCGTTGAAGGCTATCTTTTGCAGCTGAATACAGACTTGCCTTACCAAGCTGCACCGTCAGATTCTTCAGCAGCATTAAATATGCCAGGTAAAATGAAAGTCATGCTTATATAAACCATGTATACTTTAAAAAGTATAGTGCAGCTGGGCACAGTGGTGCACCTTGTAATCCTGGTGACTAGGAGACTGAGGCAGGAGGATCACAAGTTAGAGCAATATAGTGAGACCCTGTCTCAAAATTTTAAAAAGACTAGGGATGTAGCTCAGTGGTAAAGTGCCTCAGGGTTCATTCCCCAGCACTACACACACACACACAAAAATACTCTACTGCAAGAGTAATAATTGCTTGGTTTAAGAAATTTTATGATCCAGGGCTGGGGCTATAGTTCAGTGGTAGAGCGCCCACCTTGCACGAGTGAGGCACTGCGTTTGCTCCTCAGCACCACATAAAAATAAATAAAAGATTAAAAATTTTTTTTATGGTCCAATGGTAAGTTTATATGTTGAGTTTCAGCTCTAAAACTTAGCTCTTGTACCATTATGTGCAGCAGAATGGATAGATGTGCAGAATAGATTTTTTTTTCCTGCAGTTAATTTTAATGCACTTTAAAAATTGATGTTTCTTGAGTTCAGGAGATGTTTTTGATTAGCTTTCAAAAATATTTCTTTTCTTTTCTTTTTTTTTTTTTTAAATCTGGGGATTGAATCACTAAGCCAGATCTGCAGCCCTTTTTACTTTGAATCAGGGTCTTACCAAGTTGCTTATGGCCTTGCTAAGTTGCTGAGGCTGGCCTTGAACTCATGAACCTCCTGCCTCAGCCTCCCAAGTCATTGGGATTACAGGTATGCGCCACCGTGCCTGGCTATTTCACCTTTTTCAAATGTATTTTTAATTAGGCACTTGGAAAGTAAAAGCAAATTTTATTTTATACAGTCTTCCAGAAAGAGTTTCAATTAGCTGTTAAACTATTAAGAAAACAGATAAATTTTGAGAGAGTACTATTTAAAAAATCTTTAATATATACCTTTAAAGAATATATTAATAATATGTTTTACTGATATTCATCAAGAGCATATTAGTCTGAACTTTGTCATTCCCACAGGAGGCAGAGTGGACCCTCACAGACAAGGCAGTAATAGCATCCTTCCGAACAGTGTAAGTTAACACATTTATGATGGCAATTGAATGTTTATTGTTAAAGTCCCAATTTTTATTAAGATTTTTAGTGCATTACTTTAGAACAGGGATCCTCAACTCTGGTACACATCAGAATCATCTCTGAGATGCCCGGACAGCTCTGTTTTTAAAGAAAGCTTCAGAGCTTGGAGGTGTAGCTCCTTGGTAGAGTGCCTGCCTAGCATGTGAATCCCCTTGCTTGTATCCCCTAACACCGCAAAAAAAGGAAAGAAAGAAAGCTTTACAGACCGTTGTGATAGTGGCCTGAATTAAGAATCCCTGTCTAAGAGAAGGTCACCCTCATTATATATAATATCAGAGACTATTCATATTTACAGATCTATATATAATAAATACATGTATTCTACATTTCTAGAGGTATCCTTTAAATATGTACATAAACATATTCTTTATTATATATTTTTTCCCCACAGTATATCAGTTGCTAAATTGAATACCTCTGTATGTGATTTTGAGTATGAATGAATTAATGATAGGCAAGAACAAAAGTAAACAAATATGTCTATACCTACATCATTTTCTATGAAGAGAGTCTCCTGGTATAGATAACAATTTGTAAAACACTAATGAATTTTAGTAAGCTATTCATTAGCTTCTATGAAGCATTTTATAGTTAGTAAATAAAGAAATAAAATAAATAAAAAGGCAGTTAACACCAGGAAAAACAATTGTATAAGAAAGGAACAATACTCAAAGCACTTTTATAACTTACCTGTGAATGTCACCATCATAATTATCAGTATCATAGTGTCTTTTTCCTATGCTAGGATCCATGCTTCCTGATCTTGTTCCTCTTTTCTGGTTTTTTCTCTTGTTTTGTTGCAGTATTCCCTCCCGTAGTTTCTTGAGTAATGACTTATGAAAGGTAAACATTGTGAGATCTTGTGCATCCAGAAATTTCCTTATTCTCTTCACATTTTACTGATAGTTGGGTTGGGCTATAGAATTCTATACTGGAGGGGCTGGCATTGTGGCTCAATGGTAGAGCACTTGCCTAGCGTGTGTGAGGTGCTGGGTTTCAATTCTCAGCACCACATATAAATAAATAAAATAAACATCGATTGACAACTAAAAAACACTAAAAAAAAAAAAGAATTCTATACTGGAAACTTCTCAGAAAATTAAAGACATATTCCCTGCCCCCTTCCCGTCTTTTAGCATTCACTGTTGCTGTTATCACCTGGCTTCCTAATCTTTAATATATGACCTAATTTTATCCCTTTTATCCTGTTTTCAGAAATTTTACCTATGATGCTTTAGGGTATGTGTCTTCATTTGAGATATGCTGTGCACTTAGTGGGCCCCACTGTTATGGAAACTCAAGGCTTTCATTGCTGATTATTTCTTTCCTCTAATGCCTTGTTAATTTTTAAAAATTTGTTAAAATTCTTGTTGAACAATGGGCTTCCTGAACTGGTCCTCTAATTTTACTGTCAATCTCTTTTTCTACTTTCTGAAAACTTTCATTTTATATTTTAAATTTTCTATCCAATTTTTAAATATATTCAACCACATTTTTAATTTCTAAAAGCCCGGTCTTTATTTCTTTTATAAGCACTTTATTCTTGCTTCATAAATGTAATGCCTTCCCTAATCTCTTCAAGAATTATGCCTTTTTAAAAGATTTGGAGTTTTATTCTGCTCTGCAATATTTCTTTTTGTTCAAGTGGTTTTTGTTTTTGTTTTTGTTTTGGTGTTGGGGATTAAACCCAGGGCCTTGTATATTCGAGGCAAGCACTCTACCAACTGAGCTATAGCCCCAGCCCTCAAGTTTCCTTATATTTTTAAAATTTAGGCTTTCATTAGAGGTTGTCATTAAATGTCTGTGAGTTTGGCTGTCCTCTTATGTTCCAAGTGAGGGCTGAAAGAAGAGATTGGAGACTCTATGCATGCTTATTGATTATTAGACCTTAATAAGGTCTGCTACTAAGGGTAATTGGGTGGGAATTCACAAATATTTTCTAGTTTCTTGCCTGGGGGTTCTAAGTCTGGTCCTCAGTATTTTAGGAGCGAAGTAAAGGAATGGGGCAGTAGGTCTCTCTGTTCTACAGGTGAACTTACACTTAATTCCCATTTTTAGCATGACTGCTTAAAGGGTCACCACCACCCTTATTTGAGGGACACTAGAGCCTCACATATCAACCTGCCTGCTTACTTCCCCTCTTCAGTTAGAATGGGAGAGAGGAATTCTTCTGGCTTAGTATGCAGAGACAGCCTAGCTGGTCTTCAGCACTATGCGCACAGGCTGCCTTGTGACAGGTCTCCAGGGTTCCTTCCCTGGCGTGCTTCTGTACTTCTGCCTTTTCAGACCTGATACCTTCCTGGGTCTTGCAGCACAGATGTTTTGCATCTTAATGACTTTTTCCCTTTAGGCTCTTAGTGTCCAGCTTTTTCTACTTTATATCTTACCTACAATCTTCTCCCATACCATACTCTTATTCCTTATGTATTTATACTTTTATACTTCATTTCTAAGTGTTTGAATTGGGTTTTTGGAGGAATATACTGAAATAAATGTATTTAATCTATCAGATTTAACCAAAACTCTTATGATATTTTATTTTACATAATTGTAGTTAGACTGTTTGAATTTTAAGTAAAGAATAGAGACACCATAACAGAGACTTTGGAATTAAATAAATTCTAGCTGTGCTACTTCTTGGTTTCCTGACTGTAGTTCTCAATTACATAAAGTCTCTGAGTTTCAGTTTTCTTTATACAACAGAGTACATTATTCAATTTACAAAATTCTTGTGACAATTAAGTGAAATACAGAGTTTATAAATAAGTAACACAATGCCTGGTACAATTATTGTTGTTACCCTCATCATTTATTAAGAATGCACCATCACCACCAGTTATGGGCAATTCTAGGGATCTAAAGAATCTTTTATTATTTTTTTATATATTTTTTTCTAGTTGCCAATGGACCTTTATTTTATTTATTTATATGTAATGCTGAGACTCAAACCCAGTGCCTCACACATGCTAGGCAAGTGCTCTACCACTGAGGTATAGCCCTAGACTGGGATCTTAGAGTCTTAAGAAATTATAAGCATTGATAATAAAGGTATAACAAAAACCATTACTGAAATAGAACAGCAATACTGGTGTATTTGAACAAAGCCAGGTCTCTTTTATGGTTTAGTAGACCAATAGGTATTGTTATGTAATTACTGAAAAAGTTTAAATGTGTTCATTATAGTGTATTTAAGAAGGCAAAGACAGTGTCATTAGGAAGATTCCTATCTTAAATGCTTAATGGTAAAAATGCTGATATGTATTAATTTTTTTATATGGAAAACTCAATCATTAAGAATAATTCATTTGCTTGAAGTTTCCATAGAACAGATTTTACTTTCAGGAGTCATCAAATCTTTAATCTACATGCTGACCTTTGTTAAAAAAATTTGAACAGACTGTTAAACTCAGTAGTTTTCATTTTCTTTCCCTTGTTACAGAAGTATTTATTTGTAATACTAACTACCAGAATAAAACTCCAAGTCTTTTAAAAAGGCATAATTCTTGAAGAGATTAGGGAAGGCATTACATTTTTGAAGCAAGAATAAAGGCTTATTAAAGAAATGAAGAATAAGATCAGACTTTTAGAAATTAAAAATGTGGTTGAATATATTTAAAAATTGGATAGAGAATTTAAAATGTTGATTTTAAGCTGGGTATGGTGGCACATGCCCAAAGCCCCACCTTCACTGTAGGTTAAGGTAGGAGGATTGCTTGAATCTAGGAACTCATGGCCAGCCTCACATAGTGAAACCCTGTCTCACAATTTTCCCTTAAAATATATCCTTCCTTGCCAGGCTCAGTGGCACGTACATGTAATCTGGCTCAGGAGGCTGAGATAGGAGGATTGTGAGTTCAAAGCTAGCCTCAGCAAAGGCGAGGCACTTAGCAACTCAGTGAGACCCTGTCTCTAAATAAAATACAAAAAAAATAGGACTGGAGGTGTGGCTCAGTGGTTGAGTGCCCCTGACAAGCAAGCAATCAAGCAATCAATCAATCAAATCTCCCTTCATTTCCCCTTCAAAAATGGTCTGTTGCCGGGCACAGTGGTGCACACCTGCAATCCTAGCTACTCTGAGGCAGGTGGATTGCAAATTCAAGGTTAGCCTCAGCAACTTTAGGAGACTCTGTCTTAAAGAAGAAAAAGGGCTGGAGATGTGAAGCTCAGTATTGAGAGTGCCCTGAATTCAGTCCCTATTGCCACAAAAACAAAATCAAAAACTAATCTTTTGAGATGGAGATTAAGTGAAAAATAAATTATTTTCTTAAAAATTTAGAGAATAAGTCTATATAGAAATTAATAATATAGTTTTAAAATGTTTTATATTTTGATAAACATCTTTTCAAAATAATTTTCTTGTAAATTAATTTGCTTGTTTTTTTACATGTATTTCTGTTCATTGAACATTGCTTGCTACAGTAAACTATTTTATTTCTTGTAGATCAGTGACACAGTAAACAGTACAAAAGTGGAACATTCAGCCATGAGAGGAACTGCAATGAAAAACAAACAAGATTTCAAAGCAACAGATTCTAATGCCATTTTATATTCTTCTTTGGCATCTAATGCTTCTAATCATAATAGTTGTATGGTGGATATGCTAAGGAAAAATGAAGGTATAAAGATGACATTTTGAGTAAAACTAAACCTTTTTATAATATGGTAGGGAGTTTTAGAGTCATTGAAAAAGTAAATGTTATGTGGTTTAAACAATTTTCCTCAAAATATTTACCATATTGCACCTAGTTAGAGTAAGGTCAGAATACCAAGTAGGCCCTTACCTGAATAGTAATGACATGTTATGGGTATACGAAAGTTCTTGGATAACATTTGATGTTAGTGTTCAGTGTCATTATTCCTTTACTTATTTTTATTTTCTTAGCCCTGAAATTATTTATTTTGGGCAGGGATTTTGTCCATTTTGTTCACTTGTATTTCTCCAGCACCTAGATCTGTGCTTGGTAAATATAGTAGTCACTTAGTAAATATTTGTTTGGCAAATAACTGGATTATCCTCAGAAAGTTAGCTCAGTTATAAGAACTATTGATTAGCCCATTGCATTCATGAGAGCTTATAACTTGGTGATAATTTTATTTGCATATGCTGATGCCATTTACATTAAGCATTTCTTTTGATTTCAGAACCTGAAATTATTTTATAAATCTCATTCTGATATATCTCTCACTTAGAAACGTGATTATTTTTTAATTTGTAAAAAAAAAACTTGAAAGCTGATATAAATCTAATTATTCTTCACTTACTCGAATTTAACAAGATGAATATTCCTTTTATCTCTGTTTATCTTTATAGGTCTATGTTAGATAAAAATATTCAAGGAAGATAATTTTCTATAATTTGGATAAGTTTAAGTAGTTTAATTTTTGGCAAGTGGTGAAACCAGATTGGTTGTGCGATAGTGCCTGGCACATTGTTTATACTCATATGTGTCATAGAAAGACTCCCCAGTTGACTTTTTCTCTGCAGTTTAGAGTAGCTGCTGAAGAGTGTTTCAGAAAGTGAAGGAGGAATATGTTTCATTTTTTAATAAGCTCTCTAATCTTACCATCAGGAAGAAATATGGTAGGAAATGGTTAGGAGACTCGGTAGGGCTCTGTCAGAACTGGGAGGTACATAGAGACTAAAGCAGTACATGGGATGGAGTCATTGAAGAGACTTTTAGAAAGCTGTGTTTATTAAAATTGGCAAGTGGGTGGATATGACAAATAAAATTGAGTTGAATATAAAGTTGAACATCAGAATGGATAATGCTTCTCTTTGTCAAGGTAGAAAGTATCAGCAAGAACAGATTTGGGGAAAGGTTCAACTTTGAACATACTGTCTTTGAGGAACACAAGAAATATATTGGTGAAGATTTTTAATGGGAAATTGTATTCTTAGATCTGGAGTCTAAGAGTCCTCAGCTGGAAATATACATATAGAAGTTTAAAAAGTATCTAAAATATAAGTTCCACAAGAGCAGGGACCTTGTTAACTTGTTCACTATTAGATTCCCAGCCACTGGTACAGTGTCTGGAACATATATATATATGGGAGGTGAATGATTCATGATGGTTTTTAAAGCACAGGGAAAATATGCAAAGGGAGGGGGAAAAGGCAGCTGAGCAACATGGGAATATAAGGCATCATTTGAAGAAGAAAAACTAACTGAAGAGATTGAGAAGCGGGGGGGCTTAGAGGGATAGGAAAAGACAAAATACTGGTATGTACCTTTTCTTCAGACATCACAGTTTGTGCCTTTTTGTAAATGAATATCTCTATCATATGAGAGAGCTCATGGGGCATGAATCCTGCCTGCTTTGCAAATAAGCACAATGTCTGATAGATTACAGACCTTCAGTATTGTAGAATGAATGAATGAGCCATAGAAATATATTTTCAAAGGAATATATGGTCAGCATTGTTAACACTACAGAAAGATCAAGTAAATGAATACTGAAAAGTATTCCATAGCAATCATTGACATTTGCCAAAACCTTTTCATTAGAGTAGTATGCTAGAAACCAAAATTTGGGAAGATCAAGGATATGGAAATTGCTCTGAAGAAAATTAGTGAGGGGAAATAGAAACATGAGGGGACTCTGGGTGAAGGAAGATGTGGGTTTGCTTGCTTGAGAGACTTAATGATATTTATGTAATGAGAACTAAAATCTAAAGAAGAATCTAAAAGTCCTGAAAAGACAGGAATGATTGATGAATAAAGGTCCCAAGATATGAGGGAAGACAGATTAAACTTCCTTGAGAGAAAGCTCAGCTCATCTTCTGATATGGACGAGAAGACAGGGAGGATCGGCACCATTTCTAGTTTGATGCAGGAGAAGACAATAAATTGATGGAATCCATGCCTGATGACTTGAATTTTTTTTGTAACACAAGAGGCAAAACCATTTGATCTATGGTTTAATAGAGAGTTCAAGAACAGTGTTTTAGTGTTTAGATTGGAAGAGGAAGCTAAGAAGTTGAACATCCACTATAGATAGAATGCATTTTTCTTCTGGACATTTTATGCCTTATGGCCAAAACATACTGATGCCATTTGCAGGCTCATGTTTATGATTTTAAAATTGAAAGTACCAGAAAACATGATAAAAACAGTATGACACAGTTATTTCCAGGTACTGTACTAATAATAGATCTTTTCTCTTTAAACTTAGGTCCTCACACTTCAGCAAATGTAGGTGTACTAAGTAGTTGCCTGGACTTAAGAACAGTAACCCCTGAAACTTCGGTGTCCAGTACTGTTTCCAGCGCACAAACTATGGTAACCCAGCAGACCATTAAAACTGAATCATCCAGTACAAATGGGGCAGTTGTTAAAGATGAAACTTCACTAACAACATTCAGTACCAAATCTGAAGGTTTGAAATGTGTTTCACATACTGTATTTTGAACCATTTAATGTATATAAATTCATCAGATTTATTTGTTTTAAATAAGAATTGCATTTCATCTTGAATTGAATCATGTAAGCAGATAAAGCATTTCAGTTAAGTATGTTATATAAAATAATCTTTGCTGCCTTACATAAAATATTTAGATTAACACACACTGAGATATAATCAGAATATATTTTCCCTACTGTGATTAAATTCAGCAAGCCTTTTTCCATATAAAAAATTAGTTGTAGAACATGCATTAACAGTTCTTCCAGCTTGATTAATTTCTAATTTTATAAATTCTTATTCTTTTACAGTAGGAATTATTTCATCTTTGGTATACATTCTATCGAGTTCCAACTAGTTATCAAACTCATAAGAATGAACTATATGAATTAATTTGAATGCAAGTTCATATTTCTGGGCTGGGGTTGTAGCTTAATGGTTAGAGCATTTGCCTCACATGTGTGAGGCGCTGGGTTCGCTCCTCAGCACCACATAAAATAAATAAAATAAAAGTATTGTGTCCATCTACAACTAAAATTTTACAAAAATAAATAAAAAAGAGTTCATATTTCTAATTACCATGATTTTCTCCCTCTAGCTATTTTTTTCCCAGTTTTTTAAATTGAAAAATACACATAACATAAAATTTACCATCTTTACCATTTTTAATTGTACAGTCCTATGGTATTAAATGCCTGCCTACTTATAAGTTATATTTTCATGTGTCCAAGTAATTATATAAATCTTAATTGATTAATTGTTTAATTTTTAGTTGATGAAACATGTGCTCTGCCTGCAACTAAGATTAGCCGAGTAGAGATGCATGCTGTACCCATGCCATTTGCTGTAAGTACATTACTTGGTGACAATGCATGTTTTCAAATGATTATTGTTGCTTTTTAAATGCTGAGCAACTTCTAAGTAAATTCATGAAAAGGTCCTTATGTCTTAGTTAGTAATGAATTGATAATAAATTTAGAAATAAGTTGTTGAATAGGATAATGTTCCTAATGTTTAATGGAAAAAGCTTGCTAAAATGATAATACATATGCTGTGGTCCCAGTTTTAATAAAAAACACACATAATACATAAGTTCACACTGTCACATTTACCTACACACATGCACACTAAAATGCTACATGATTCTATTTGTGGGGCCACCACAGATTATTTTTACTTTCTTCTCTTTATGCTTTCTATATTTTTCTGTAAAGAAACATTACTTTTTAAATCCGAAATATATGTGTGTTTACACACATATATATGTGGTGTGATATGTAAATTACATTAATGGTTTAATGATAGTTATGTTATGGAACAAAAAGTACTTGGCTGTATTTCTAGGAGCACAATAGAATACTGCAGTGTTGGATTGACATACACGTAGGACAACCCAGTAATCTCTGGCAAAGGCCAAAGTTAATCTGCATGGCACCAAACTTAAAATTCTAGGAAAGTGCCTCACAAATACACCAAGGTTGTCTTAATTAGATATGTATATAAGGATAATACATATATGCATATATATTTTTTAGATTTTTTATGATGAGTCATTTCAGCTTTATTGTTGTCAGCAAGAGGTTTTTTTTTGTTGTTGTTGTTTTAAATAACATTTACCTTTTGGAATCTTCTAAGAATTGTGTGTAGTTTTCATTTTCTTTCAAATTTTTGGATTGCGACCATATATTTACCTTAATCAGCTTTCATATTTCCAGAATGTTAAGTCCTAGTGTTCTTAGATTCTTTTCAAGAAAGGATTGTTAAAATGAACTTTCTTCGTTTGAATCTGTTTTGCAATGATCAGCCAGAATTGTACTGGTTATTTCAGCTGGAGCCAGTTGTTTTATAAAGTTGTTGAAGAGAATTTTTACAACTTTAAAAAATGAAGACAAGTTTAAAGCTATTCCTTTTTTCTCTAACCTTAAAGATTCTTCTAGTTAGTTCACTTTGTCATGTGTGATAGCCTAAATAACAAAAAATGTGAATGATAAGCATGTACCTCTGCTGTTATATATTTAAGACAGAAATAAATAACTGAAGTGCACATTTGTTTTGAGCTTCTGGAAACAGTGTCTCATTTATAAGAAGATGGCTTAAAAAGGTTAGTTCCAGGGATAAGTATAATTCACTTACCACTAAAAGTAGCTTAAGGTAGAGGAAATTTATTTGTTTTTAAAGCAGGGTAAAACATTTAAAACTGTTAAATCTCCTTCTCTGTAGTATATACTAAAATATATTCAAATCGCATTTTAGTTTTGAACATTTTTTCTCCTTTTAGGTTTGGAGAATCACAGGTATTTCAAGTGCAAAGATCACTGAATTTTTGCTAGTTGTTTTGAATCTAGTAAAAAGCCAGCTTGGAATGAATTTTTCTTTATTTGCTCCCCTTGGAGCAAGTGTAATGTTTCACTAGCGGGATTACATTTTTCGGAGAGGGTCTCTGAAATGACAATGTTGTATAAAACAGCTGGAATTTTAACATATCACTGATTGTGAAGCATGCTAACTCTATAGTACAGAGTTATAGTGCAGAGCTACTGAGTTTGAGAATGCCTGTCACTCCTGTGTTTTAATTGGTGTCCCCTTTTCACTGTCAGTTGACCTAATCTGTTAAGACTTTATTTACTTATAAGCTATTAATGTTGTGGTGTTTACCCATATACCTACTTGTATTTGTAGATCACTGCATGGATTTATTAAATCTTGAACTTTCTTATATGCTCAGTAAGAATCTTCATAAATCTTTCTTTCTCTAACATTAGAAAGAGTCTCCTTCAAATCCAGTGGCCACAGTGAAAGCAGGAGAACGACAGTGGTGTGATGTGGGAATTTTTAAAAATAATACAGCTTTGGTGAACCAGTTTTATTTGCTGCCAAAAGGGAAGCAAAACATCTCCAAGGTAACTTGATATATTTTCTTATAAACCTTGAGAGTGAGATTATTTTTATGAATCTTATTCATGTCACTATAATTTAGTGTTGTGTATATTTAGTCATCTTGTATTCTTTGTTAAGGCTCTTTTTTTTTTTTTGGTACTGGGGATTGAACTCAGGGGCACTCAACTACTGAGCCATATCCCCAGCTCAATTTTGTATTTTATTTAGAGTCAGGGTCTCACTGAGTTGCTTAGTGCCTCACTTTTGCTGAGGCTGGCTTTGAACTCACGATCCTCCTGTCTCAGCCTCCTGAGCCGCTGGGATTACAGGCATGTGCCACCATGCCCAGTTTATTAAGGCTCTTTTAATAAAATATATAGCAAACATGTCATTTAAAAACTCTTTATCACTAAGCTGAACTTCACATCATAAAAAAATCTATTCTGGCCAGCTAAAAAATGAGGATTATTTTGAAATGTTTCCCATTTTTTTACTCTGTGTATTTAGAGAATGGAATGTTGTCCCATTGATTCAGGAGGCTGAGGCAGGAGGTTTGCAAGTTTGAGGTCAGCCTAAACAATTTAGTGAGATGCTTTCTCAAAAGAAAAAGGACAGGGGTTATTGCTCAGTTGTAAAGCACTCCTGGGTTCAGTCTTTCAAAAAAAAAAAAAAAAGAGAGAGGGCCGGGGATATAGCTCAGTTGGTAGAGTGCTTGCTTCACATGAACAAGGCCCTGGGTTCAGTCTCCAGTACCACGCACGCGCGCGCGCGCACACACACACACACACACACACACACAAAAGAATGAAACATTCTTTTTTATTGAGAGATTTTTTTTTGTTCCTGATTTTACATTTTAAAAAGTGTAAAAGCCCCAATATGCTATTGAATGCTTTTCCATTGAGTCTGACCCCATTATAGATACATTAATTGAAACATTATCAACCTTCTAAGAATTAATTAAATAGATAACAGTTCTAAAGAGTGTTGGACTAATTTTTTTTTAGATGGAGAATTTCTGAGAGGCGATTGTCAAGGAAATAGATATTTACTTTAATTTTTTAGATCTTCCCAAAAGGAGATAATAAGTTTAAAAATCTGAAATCCTAAATGCTTAAAAGCCAGAACTTTTTTGAGTGTCAACATGCTGCCATAAGTGGAATAATCCATATCTGACCTCATGTGACAAGCCAGAATAAAAATGAAGGCATACTAACTTATCTTTAGGTGATTTGTATAAGGTATATGAAAGAATGAACAAGGCTTGTCTGGGACAGAGCAAATGCCCATTTATTGGGGAACAGCTCTGCGTATTTATAGAGCCAGAGGTGGTTTGACAGTTGGCATGGGGTGCTTTTTGATTGGAGGGTAAGGATCAGGTGAGCCAGCAGGGCTAGTCTGATTGGTGGGTAGGATCAGGTGAGCCAGCAGGGCTCTGATTGGTGGGTAAGGATCATGTGAGTCAGCAGGGCTCACCATTGGACGGCTCTTCTTGGGGGATGGGGAAGTTAGTCTTTGGAGCCAGGGCAACTCCCAACAGTATACATGAAACATAAATAAATTTTGTGTTTAGCTTAGGTCTTATCCCTAAGAAATCTCATGTGTATGCTAATATTCCAGAACCTAAAAAAAATCCTGAGATCTGAAATGCTTCCTTTTTTTTTTTTAAGATGGATACAATATCTTTATTTTATTTATTTTTATGTGGTGCTGAGGATCGAACCCAGTGCCTCACATGCGTGAAACAAGCACTCTACCGCTGAGCTATAACCCCAGCACCCCCCAAATGCTTCTTGTACCAAGAATTTTGGATGAGGGATACCTATCCAAAATCCAAGTATATGATCACTTGTATCACATAAAAGTGATACCCAACTTGTATATCATTTACTATATATATTACTTATATTTGAATTTCTCTAATATTACTCTTGATGTCCCTCTTTTTCACAATGAATTTTTCCAATATTGACAAGAACAAATTCTGGTTAATAATTTGTTAGTATTATGCTTAATGAAATTTCTGGCTGCAGTTGGCTGTTATATATAAGGACATATCCATATAAGGGCCGATTAGCTGCCTGATTTTTCCTAAAAGAAGTAAAGAGCATAGTGAGGCATGGTGACACACATCTGTAATCCTGGCAGCTCAGGAGACTGAGGCAGGAAGATCACAAGTTCAAAGCCAGCCTCAGCAACTTACTGAGGCCCTGTCTCAAAAAATAAAAAAAGGGCTGGGGAAGTGGTTCAGTGATTAAGCACCCCTAAGTTCAATCACTGGTACAAAAAAAGAAGGAAACAAAGAAGGAAAAAAAGTGAAATAACATAAAATTTAGAGCCAGGAACTTGGTTTTGACTCACTAGCTCCAGCACTCAGCAGTACGAAGAGGGCAGGTCACTTATTTAACCTCTTGAGACTCAGCTTCCTCATCTATGATACATTGGCAGCCCTGGCCCACAGGGAGATTGTGAGGGTTTAAGGAGAATGTATAAAATTTGAAAGTAATAAATGTTATGATTTAACTTCTTAGAATATGTAATCTAATTATTTAACATTTATTCAGTGTCCTGGATATAAATTTTTAAAATTCACTATACTATGTGTTGATCTCTCCTTTTCTATCAAACTTGCTTGCCTGTCTCTAAGAGTGTTGTTCTTTATTTTTGGTACTGGGGATTGAACTCAGGGGCATTCAACCACTGAGCCACATGCCCAGCCCTATTTTTTTTTTCTTAATATTTTTTAGTTGTGGATGGACACAATAACTTTGTTTATTTTTATGTGGTGCTGGGGATCGAACCCAGTGCCTCACGCATGCTAGGCAAGTGCTCTAACACTGAGCCACAACCCCAGCCTCCCAGCCCTATTTTGTATTTTATTTAGAGACAGGTTGTCACCGAGTTGCTTTTAGTGCCTCGCTTTTTGCTGAGGCTGGCTTTGAACTTGCGATCCTCCTGCCTCTAACATCTGGAGCCGCTGGGATTACAGGCATGTGCCTGGCTCTAAGGGTATTGTTCTTGGAAAGACTATTATTAAACAGTAAACCTGAGATTCTGCTCCAAATTAAGTTTGCATGGAGTTAGGATAATTGTTACTTTGTTTTTATAAAATGGTTGGTAATTTTTTTTCTACCTTCATACATTTTATGTGCAGAATACCCTTACTGGAAAAATACTTATTCTCTGAATAATAATCACTGATTAATGGGCTTATTAGTTGCTTCTGTATTAGAGGGTTTATTGCTTAGAGTGAGAGAAATAAATGTGAATTGGAACTTTAAGAGTTTTATTGTTCAGTGAAGATTAAATAATTAAAAAAATTAAATAATAAATTAATTGTTCCTAATAAATTAATTGTTCCTCTCTATATATTACATTTTAGGTAGGAAATGCAGATGTACCTGACTACAGTTTACTTAAGAAACAAGATCTTGTTCCGGGCACTGGATACAGGTTTAGGGTTGCTGCAATCAATGGTTGTGGAATAGGCCCTTTCAGCAAAATCAGTGAATTTAAAACTTGTATTCCTGGTTTTCCTGGAGCCCCTTCAGCAGTCAGAATTTCAAAGGTAAGATGTCAAGTCAAGACTTGTTGGTGATATTATTTGAAACTTCTTATATTAAGTAAACTCTTTAGAAATTTTTGCTAGGATCTAATGAAATCAGAGATATCTAAAAGAGGTGGATTAAAAGTTTAAAAAATATTCTTTGCTAATCACTCATGGTATTTTAATCACCAAAATCTCAAGCAGAATTATAAGCATCCAAATCATAGAGAAGCAGGGAAATCTGCTTTGTTCATATTGTTATGTATCCCAAAGTTCATGCTGGAGAATTTTAATAGAACATATGAAATTGGATTGTATTTTATTGTAAGTCATTCCCTTCCTTAGGGAAGAAAAGATCTGCATTAGAGAAAAATCCTTTTTTTAGGGTATAACAGGCAGATATTTAAAGCTTATTATGTTTGTTAAAAGTGGGCATGAATTAAACATTGTAGATCCCACTAAGGTAGCTTTTCAAAAGTCAGCAATATGAGATCTAACATCTAATGCAATTACTTTAGCAAAAAGAAGCATTTTGTGTTCTAAAGATAGACTTAACATAATAAATACTAAAAGAGAAAACTTGAGAACCTTTACCTGCTCCCCCACTCTTTTTTTTTTTTTTTTTTTTTTTTTTTTTTAGAATGTTGAAGGTATCCACCTTTCCTGGGAGCCTCCAACTTCACCTTCTGGAAATATTTTGGAATATTCAGCCTACTTGGCTATCCGCACAGCACAGATCCAAGATAATCCAAGCCAGCTTGTGTTCATGAGGATTTATTGTGGTCTTAAAACATCATGTATAGTAACTGCTGGGCAACTTGCAAATGCACATATTGATTATACATCCAGGCCTGCCATTGTGTTCAGGATATCAGCAAAGAATGAAAAGGGATATGGACCAGCTACACAAGTTCGATGGCTTCAAGGTAACAATAAAAAAGCACCTTTAAATTGAATTTTTTTCTTTTTTTTTTTTTAACTGAAGCTGTTGTGATGATGATTATTTATTAGTAACTGGTTATGAAGATTTGTCATTTAAAAGACTGTATTTCTAGCAGTTATGAATTTGAGTTTGTAAGTTGTTCTTAAAATGTATTTGCTCAATTCTAGATCCAAATAAAAATAGAAAAGCAAAGACTCTCTGAAAATTAGTATATGGATTCTTCCTTACACATATAGCTCTTTTACAAAGAAAAATAATAAAATCAAGATAAAAGTTAGAAGGCTTTAATATCCCAATACCTTTTTTAAAGGCTATGTAACTCAGTCATCCTAGAATTATTGAGATGATTCTAGTAACTGACTGGTGTACACTTCACTGTCTTACTTAGTAAGTGTTCGCTACATTGTAAATGATCTATCATTAAATACTTCCTCTAACTTTATTGTCTATGAGCGGTGATCCTCCAACAGCTATCTTCTATGGATAATATTTGTGATACTAATGTTAGTAGTCATTTGATTCTTTTAATCATAGTTAGCACAGAGCTTAAAAAATTTTAGAGAGAGAGAGAAAGGCAAGTTCAGAAACTGCTTTTGAATTTCTATTTTTCAAAATCATGGTAAGATTAAAAAAAAATAATAATGGGTATTCTTGATTCATACCAGGCCAATGTATTTGAATATACATTTGGTTAAAGCACTTAATTTACCTGGCCCTTAATTTCCTCACTTACAGATGAGAGAATTAAAAGAGTTTGCCTTCAAGGCCCCTTTCAGCACTAAAATTTTGTATTTTCATCAGATGTAGAGTATGTCCCTGAACATTGAACATGTTCATGTGTCTTAATGGTTTTACCTTTGTTTTTTCTGAAATTAAAAGCTTCATAATTTAAAATTCAAAATTAAAGTGTATGTCCTCCTACTGCAGAAGAAAGAAGCACCTTAACGGGACACAAGTTTTGAAATAGTGTTTTAAACATTTGTAAGATTTTTGTAAATGCTCTAGATGTTTTATTTTTGCATCATTTTTACCTCAAAATTGTATAAACTTTTTTACAATGAAAATATAAGCATTAGACAGCTAACTCAGGTTCTTTACAACCTTAAAGATGCAGATGAATATTATGAACACTCTGCTACAGGTAACTTGTTTTAAATATTTTAGGAATTTCATGGTTCCACTGCCTATTCAAATCTGGAATGAATATATACAGAGCAATAATTGCAGAAAATATTTTTCTCACTAAGAGCTACAATAACTGTAAGGGCACCGGTCTATCTTTTTAATACCACATAACCTTATGCCAGTTTAGGTTGACTGAGTAGCAATGTCCTCACACTTTGTGTATAATATCCCCAGCAAAGATGGATTTAATTGTGCAGAATTGATATATATGCGTGTTCCAGTTACTAATTTAAAGTGTATAGAATATTTTAATATATAATTTTTGTAAAGAACTGGGATTTTTATACTACAGTATTTGTAATTAATGTGTCTCACTAATTAAGTTTCTTTTGAAGAAAATATGCAAATTGTTAGACACATAATGAGTGGTTTCTGAACTCTAAAGATAAAATAAATGCACTACTATAGTGTTGTTAGAATACCTTTTTTTTTGTGGCTATATGAATCCTGATTCTTTAAATGTGTACTTTATAATGTTTACAAGGAGCTTCTCTGGTTTGTTGTCCCAGCAGTTTCCTTGGCGAGAGCTTCATTCTGCATTTGTTTAATTCATATGCTTTGCTTTTGGCATATACTTGCTTTTTGCACTAGTAGAATTTTAACTTACCTCATTATTATGTTTGTAATCATTGTATAGCTTCCATAACATGTCTGATATAGGCTAAAGAAATACTTAACCAAAGTTAAAATGAAAATAAATGGTAAGCAATTTTGCACATATTAAGTGCTAGGATTTGTTGTGTATGTGTGTGTGCTTAGTTATAAAAATAATAAGAATGGAAAGTTTTATATGTCTTAAACCCAATTATTTTAAGTATCTATCTGCTTTATTAGAAAAACTTTGGCTTTTAACCCATTATTATTTGCATTAACAATTTGCATCTTGAAATGCTTCCCTTAATGACAAGGAATAAGTTGATTTAAAGCAAACAGTAGAATATCTGCTTTAAGTGTACATGTTAATATCAACTTGGTATTTAATTTTCTTTACTTTGCTGAAATGCCTCTATTGTGTTAGACCAGGAGGTGAATACGAACCTGTGGTTCTAACATATCACTTACTTCTTAGAAGGAAGGGCAGCCTTTTCATACCAAGGGATTTGTTAAAATAATGAATCTTTTTATTTTGAGAATTAGCCAAGTTTTGTTTGTTTTTTTAATTTGACATTAGTATACTGAGCACCAGTCAAGTTTATCTTTCTGATAAGGGATTGGTGACTGAAAGATGCCATTAGAAAATCTCTAATGGCTTTTAATATTAACAGTTAATAAGAGATAGCTGTATGTTCATGAAGAGAATGAATTAGGCAAATAATGAGAGGAGTACATTTAGCTTCTTGTGATTTATACATTTTCTAAGTGAAGATCCCTTTGTATAACAGTGGCTGTATCATGCAGATATTTTTCTTTCTTTGCTTTTTTTTTTTTTTTAAACCTTCAGTGCTGGGGATGGAACCTAGGGCCTCACACATGCCAGGCAAGCACTCTGTCACTGAGCCACATCCCCATCCCTGGCAGATATGTTTTCATAAGATGATTTACCATGACTTAAATTACTTTCTTTACGCTTCCCAGTTGGGTAAACAACTCAGATGTAATGAGCTTTTGTGTCACAGTCCTCTTTCTGTACTCTGCAACTTTGGTTCCCATAAGTATCAATATTTTTGATGTTGCATGCTCTTACAATTATGTTTTCTAAAATATTGTATTGACTTTAGTTTAGTAAACTATTTTGGCAATTTAACCAGAAATAGGGTATATATAAACTCAATTTTATCTGCATTAAAAAATTGAAATAATCTAATCGCATGTATGATGTACCTCTGCCCCATAACTCAGTTGCACAAATATAATTATCTATGGGAGAGTGAAACTGTTGATTCATTATTTCAAAGTTTTATAGATTAGCAAAGATTTGTTCTGATTAGAGATATGGTCTATAGCTAAAGATACTTTTATTTTAAAAAATAACAGCACTTATGAACACCATTTGTATAATTGGATATGAAGAGATTATTAGTATTTAATAACAATATTAGTATTGAAGTCTTCAGATCACAAATGAAGTAGTTGCAAAGTAGACCTGGTCTTTGACCACTTAAGGTGTAACTGTTGTATTTAAAACTGATTTAGGCAGTTTTATGTATCATGTACCAATGGTATGTAAAATAAAGCACCTTTTCTACTATAAACACTTACAAATGTTATTTATTTTTAAATACATGAAAGAAAAACGAGTGTTGGCAGAGTAGATGTATGGAAATGTTTATGTCACGCATTTGACTTAATATAGGCAGTCTCTAAATTAAGATGGACTATGTCTAAAAGTTTGTTTTTAAGTTAGTGAATTGTGGTTGGGAGTCATTTTTTAATAGAAACATAAAATCTATTTGATCCTAATTGTAGCTTAACTAATAGGCTTGGAAGTTAAAAAAAGTTAATGGTTGCAAAAAATAGCCTAACCTTGTTTTCACCTCTGTTTACTCTTTTTTTTTTTGCTTTTCACACTTTTTAGTTCATAGCAGCAGGCTTCTGACCTGCTACCCTACTGAGATGGTTCTGGCAAAGGTCGGGAATAATCTCCCATTTCCAAATCTAGTGATCTCTTTCTTCCTACTTAATAATCTTGTCACCTGAGCACTCCTTGGCACTTCCATTTTCCACAGCTATGATGCCACATTCTGTCTTTTATGCACCTCCTTCTGTCTTCGTCCACGTTTCCTTGGCCACCTGTCTGCATGCCTTGCCAGCCTGAGGAAGCCTTCAACACACTCCACCTCCTGGTAGATTTAACTGCCTTTTTTTGTGCTCTACTGTCCTTTGTCATAGCAGTTTAAAAACTGTGCCTTTATTATCATTGTCTCCCTCCCTCTGCTAGATGGTAGGTCTTTTTTTTTTTTTTCATTCATTTACTTATACATGGACACAATACCTTTATTTTATTTATTTTTAATGTGATGCTGAGGATCAAACTCAGTGCCTCACACGTGCTAGGCAAGCACTTTGCCACTGAGGTACAACCCCAGCCCTAGATGATATTTCCCAAATATGGGAAAAAATGTTCAGCATCTCTAGTAATTAGAGAAATGCAAATCATCTCACGCCAGTCAGAATGGCAGTTATCAAGAATACAGACAACAATAAATGTTGGCAAGAATGTGGGGGAAAGGCACACACATACATTATTGGTGGGACTGCAAATTGGTGCAACCAACCTGGAAAGTAGTATGGAGATTCCTTGGAAAACTTGAAATGGAATCACCATTTGACCCAGTTATGCCACTCCTTGGTCTATACCCAAAGGACTTAAAATCAGCATACTGTAGTAATGCAGCCACATCAATGTTTATAGCAGCTCAGTTCACAATATGCCTATATATTTTTGCACTCCAGAGCAGACTTATTTTAATCATGCCTGGAAAATCATAAACTATAACATTCTGGGAGTGAAACAATAAATTCTATAGACTGAACAAAGAAAAGGCTATAAAAAGCTTAGGATGCAGCTTTCTTGTTCAAATAGATTCCCATCTCTTCCCAGTGTCATTTTTCTTCTATCCTGCACTCTATAGAACTAAATTAAGACAATGTCCTCTTATGGGCCTATTAATCTCAGCAAGGATCATCTGAAACTGAGCATGAGATTACTTTATTTTATATAAGATAAATTGAGTAAGGGGCTGCTACTTAAAGGTTGTCAAATTCAAAATCTGACTGCTACTTCTGCCAGTGCCTCAAATCAGATACAGGATTGTGAAGCCCATGGTCTTGGATAGAGAGAAGGCTAGGGAGTCATAG